TGCTGCTGAGATTATCATTATTATTACTACATTTAATTACGACCCCTGTTATTGTCACTACTATTGTTATCGTTGCTACTAGTATTACTATCATTGTTAAGACTATTAATATCAATACTACGAATATTGTTATTATTACTAATACTATCACTATCTTTCCTAGTATTTTGGCTTATATTACTAGTACTAGTACTATTATTACCAAACTATTACTATTACTACTACTATTTTTGCTATTACTAATACCACTGTTACTATTATTATTAATTAATCATTATTACTTCTAATAATGTTATCTATACCACTATTGTTACTCGTTGAATTACTTTATCATTACTATTATTATTATGAACATCATTAATATCATTATATAATAGCTACTATTCTTATCATAATTGTTATCACTATCTATGCTACTATTTCTGTTAATAATAATTATCATAATAATAATAATATTTTCTTTTATGAGAAGTGATGTAATGAGCCTGTTCGTGGACACCACTTCCCTCTAAACCCTGCCTCCCAGACCTATATGTCACACTGGAGAAGTAGAACAGGTTTAAATTCATCATACAATTCTTGTTTATTTTTAAAAGCCCCATAGTGCTATATGACCTTTGATGTCTAGCACGTTTATTTTCTTGTCATTATTACTTACTTACTTTAAAAGCCCCAGTCAGAGGGCAGCCATTTTGGTATCGAGATCCTATGGTATCGTCCTATGCAGTATCGCCGTACATCTATTAGTGCCAATAGACGCATGTGCCTTCCGCGCAAGGGGTTTGGTCAGTGTGCTCTGGTAGTTATAAATCTGGCCGTTGTGGCGCTAGGAGTTGTGTTTTGGCGGTATTTTTGAAAAAAAAAAAAAAAAAAAACAGGGATTTTGCGATAAAGATTTTCGAGTCGGCATTTTTTTTCGGCAAAAATACAGTCGGTCGGGTTACCAAAACAATTTTATTATTATTATTATAATAATTATTATTATTATTATCATTATCATATTCAGTATCATTAACACGACGACCAAACTATCTAATTGGTAATATCGAGAAAGTCAAGATCCCATACGACACTTACGCCCCCCCCACCCCCACCCCCGCGCACCACCTTCTTTCCTTTTCCTCCCGCCAATCCTCTCACCCATTCTCCCCTCCTTCCTCACCCTCCCTTTCCCCTCCTTCCCTCCCCCCAGTCATCACCGTGGGGATCGCCGTGGCCAAATTCCTGGCGGGGCTGGTCCCTTACCCCGGCGTCTCCGCTCTCCTCCTGGCCATCATCCACGCCTGGGAGCCTAAGCCAGAGGACAATTACTGGGACCACGTGAAGGACAACGTGGCCCAGGTGTGCGGGAACTTCGTCAACGAGCATAATATGGACCAGGTGGTTGTGTACAAGAACGACCTGCTGTCTTTGTTGAAGAAGTAAGGAAGTTGGTGTTTGGTTGGTGGTGGTTGGGAGAGCCTTTTGTTGGGGGAAGACGTGTGAAGATCTGGTTTTGTTGAGGAAGTACGGGAGGTGTTGGTGATGGATGGAGAGAGTTTGTTGGGGAAGGTGTAGAGATCTCCTGTCTTTGTTGAAGAATTAAGAAACGTGTTGGTGATTGATGGAGAGATTGTTGTAGAAGATGTAGAGATCTGTCTTTGTTGAAGAAGTAATTAAAGTGTTGGCGATTGATGGAGAGATTGTTGTAGAAGGTGTGGAGATCTGTCTTTGTTGTGGGACGAAGGGTACAGATCTGGCTTTGTTGAGGAAGTAAGGGAGGTGTTGGTGACTGACGGAGAGAGTTTGTTGTAGAAGGTGTGGAGATCTCCTGTCTTTGTTGAAGAATTAAGAAACGTGTTGGTGATTGATGGAGAGAGTTTGTTGGGGAAAAAGTAGAGATCTGTCTTTGTTGGAGAATTAGTGGATAGTGAGGAGGGATAGAGCTTGTTGGGGAGAGAGTTTGCTGGGGAAGGTGTGAAGAGCTGTCTTTATTAAAGAAGTAATTAAAGTGTTGATGATTAAGGGAGAGAGTTTGCTGTGGGAAGGGTAGAAATCTATCTTTGTTGAAGAAGTAATTAAAGTGTTGGTGATTGATGGAGAGTTTATTGTGGGAAGTGTAGAAATCTCCTGGCTATGCTGAAGATGTGAGGAAAGCGTCGGTGTTGGTGATTGATGGAGAGAGTTGTTGTAGTAAATTTAGAAAATATAAATACAATCAGGGTTTGATAACTTTGCGAGGTAAGGTGTGTTATTAGTGCGTTTTTATCAGTTTTTAATCAGATTTATATGTAATTATATCGGTTATTATCACTTATGCCTTTTCTACTTTGTTATTGTTGGTGTGACATACTGTACATGGGTTTGTGTTCTATCCAGCTTGAAATTTCTCTGTTTTTATGTCATCACTCCGTCATAATGACCTGTACCTCCAGCTTACAACCTCCGTATTATTTTTTTTCCTCATTCTTACTTCAAAACCTCATTTTCATCATCTCTCCTACTTCTATCCTTAATATGC